AGGCCTGACGCCGACCGCCACCATGATTCCTTTGTTCCATAGCGTGCGCTGGGCTGACCCCGATCAATGACCTGAAAAACTGCAACGGACACGCACGCACGCATGCACAAGACTTTACGCATATGCCACCTGGTCGCTGTTCACCGAGGGTCAACTGGTCGCGTGACGTTATCCCAGTGTGGCCAATCAGATGAGCGTCTAATTTATGCAATTGCGAAGAATATTCTATACCACCGATTTATATGTTTAACCAACCAATGAGCCTGAGTTCAGCGGTCACTAAAGATTAACTCATGGAACCTGGATATAAATATAGATGTCAGCGATTTATTTATTTTTCAGCACGTCCTACGTGTGGCGCTTGACTCACCTAATACTTTTAAACAGAACACTCCTAGAAAGAAACGCCTACGGGAATATGCGCCGTTTTCTTTCGATAAAGCATGGCCATTTAAAGGAAAATATGTGTCAACCAATACCTGCTACGTATTTCAGCCCAAATGCTGCATTGGAATATAGAAGATGTCGAAAGCAGAAGGTAATAACAGTGTACAGGACTGAATGCATGTCTGGATTGGCGTTGGCGTGAAGTGATCGGTTTGGAGAGCTGTGATTGGACGAAAACTAAAGACTGAAAGTGGCAACGGGTATCTAAGTCACTAAGCGAATTACTTACCATTCTTCAATGGACGCGCATTGCCATGATCACTATTCATGCATTGGGATTTGTCGCTTGTCTTTACTCACTCCGTGTGCTACATTGTGAATGGTGTTTTAGGTTGTCAAAATATTTTGCTACCATGCCGACAGTCTTGCCACTGATTGCGTGCTCTCTACATTTTGGCTATTACTTCTGCGTTTCAGTCCATAATTACTTAAATGGTACACCATTAGTATTTATACTAGTTTTATATCGGTTTGTTATTATTAGGGTGTTTTACTAGATTCTTTCACAGATAAATTGTTCGATGGTTTGTACTTTCCCCTCGCACACTCGAAACTTGTAAATGCGCAAGGCAATGGAATCATAAATGAGTTTTCAGGTAAAGTGTACGGTACCTTTTCGATTTGTTCATGTGGCGGTTGGGCCGTTGGATCCATAAACGTGTTTCCGTTCAGCAGAGTTACCGCTTTACGTTCTACTTTGTACCAAGTAAGACGATCGTTGACTAAAAAGCAAAACAAAACGAATTAAAAAGCCTATTTGAAAGACGTGATCACATGGGAGTTTTGTTTGAACGCGCCACTAAATTACTTGTGATGTGGGGTTGAAACTGATAACAAGAAGGGTGTTTTTTAGCTCTTATAACTGGTCGCTGCACCAAGTTTAACCATGTCGGAGGCTACTTATCCCCTCAAGCAAAATCGATTCCCTAAGTAATTTGTTTAAGTTATCACCACAGAAACCAAAACCAAACCAGAGACAAAATTATATCTAGGCTTAGGGGTAGGCTAGGGTTACTTTTCCTACAGGTTAGTATAGGGAAAGTGTTCCAGTTTATTATAAAAGGAATTTTAGTTTATTTACGACCCTTAAAATACCACTAACCGGAGGATCGTGCGAAATCGGAGTGGTCGTTTTAGGCCTTCTAAGAATAAGGGCTCACAACGGAAATGATACATTAATTTCCGTCAAATACAGGCTGCTAGGACTATATATAGCAACAGAGCTGTGTTTAAAAAAAATACACAAAAGCAACAATAAAACACTATTGTGCACGTAATTGCATGATCGAAGTATTGGACAAGCATGACTTCCCTTAACTAAGAAATAGGAAACCGTTCGTAGCATTCTGAAACTTTTTATTTATTTATTGTGTATTTAACCCGAGGAATTTAAATAACTTATGGGTACCAAAAGGGAGAATATATTTTATGATGAACATACCAGTCTTCTCCATTTTGGGTGCATCTGAGGGCTGCAGTCTGTCGTCATTGTCAAACTCAAACTTCTCTTGACGATTCATGTGGAGGAGTCTGGCACGCGGCCTTTCGCCAGACCACCGACCATTTGCGTTGCGTGAATGCGGACAGGTGGACATATTTGCGGCATCGTTTAATTGTACATTCCAGACGCAGGGAAGCGGATAGAACAGCTCCCCGTGCATCCCAATCACAACGTTGAAAATGTCCTACAATGAACACACACACTCTTCTGCTTGGTTCACCACAGCTTGCGTTATCTCAATTTTGACCTGGTTCACAATCGAATCTTAAACTACTTTTTGTCTTGCCTATTACCATCTCATTCATTAAAAAATATATATTTGTTGATGAACACCTAAATAGAGGATACGAACATCCTATTAATGATAGATGAGCGTTTTTACAAGAAAAACAAATAACTCCGAGCTGAACCGCCATGACGAGGGTTTCGTAGTTTAATGGTTACAGTGTTGGTCCTCTGACTATTTTATTGCGTATTCAAGCCTCGGGTGTTGCGCTTTTGCGTTTGAGTATGCCTGGCTGACAACGGCTCACGAAATTGATAGGCCAGTCTGCAGTTGTTTTATTTGTATGTCCATCTATGCAAGTTATGTGAAAGACGTTTTTTGCATTTTAACTGGGTTAATATTGCTGTAGGTTAAGAGGAAGTATAATTTGGTTCCGGACCACTGCTGCACCACATCTGCAGATAGAACTTGGAACTAGGTCAGGCACAGACAGTAGGTTACCTAGCTGGGCTCCTGGAGTTGCACCGATGACTAATTGCACCCTTATCCGTCATTAGGCAGCACTAGGATTTCGTTAACTTTCTCAGATTTGTCAGTTAATTGCTACTAGACAATTCCAGGAAGTGGTAAGACGGTTACCGATGAGACAAAAGGGTGTCCCCTCTCCGGCAGGTTCCAAAGGTTTTTGCGTATAAAATATCCGTTTTCAAATACTACTTATAAGCATACTTACTTGTTCAGCTGCTTTTAGCATCGTGGACACACTCCACAAAGCCTGCAACGCACTCCTCCATAGAGCAGTCCAGTTGGCCCGGCGCAACCGATCTAGATGAAGCAGGGTAACTCCGGCATTGTAGCCGAAATCCTAAAGACAATTGTGCAACAATGTTTGGATGTAAGATTTCGCTGCAGTGTGAAAATCAATCAGGAAATTAGAAGTACACACTTTTGTATCACGGGCCGGATCTGGCGATTCATAGACCCATCAACTTGCAAACAGCATTTTAATATGTATAAATGCGTCAATTAATTTTGATTACGCGTAAGTGCTTGACCCTTGCGCCTGATGATCTAATCTTGCTTCCTAAACATGGGGCTCACAGGACGCTGTTAACAAAACGTATTCGCGATCGCTGGAGCAGAAATGTTTAACTGATTGATTTCTCGTATTCCTACCCGAACCCATCAGCATCAGTCAGGCGTAAGATTTTATGATATGTTTTTAGTATTTCATGATAATTTAAGCCTTTTGTCGCCTTTCGTCGCAATCTCTTCTGCCGCATTCAACTCGACCTGATTGAAAGACGCATTCAAGGCGAATGCAGCGGATGCGGACGCAATGGCTGGTCTACGGTCGCCATGCATAGCGTAGTCCACGCGCAATGTTCCGGAATCCGGCAAAATGACCCAGCTATTGCATATCTGGAAGTTTCATGGAGAACAGATGAAAGGGAAGCAATACATTCCTGATCCAGTAAGCCCGCATACACAGAGTGCGGACTCCGACAACCAATTTAGTCAGTCAGCCGATAGCCTTCCAAGATAGTAGACTAAGACGTCCTCTAATTTTGTAGCACTTCAGATTTAACATAGATAGCAATAACTAATGCACCTTCGAGAGTACAGGACTCCTTAAAGTGGCCCCAATCTCTTTTCCCCCTTCCAGTCGCCCCTTGACTGCCCGCGTCTGTTAAACATTCGGTGATGGGTTTGGGCTAATTACGAACGTGCTGCAAGTACATATCAAAATGCTAAGTAAAAGGTTCTGTAGGAAATCAGAGTACACCTGCTGGTTGATTCAACTACCTTACTGCATATATTGATATTGTTAAGAAAAATTATTGTGCCTCTTGAATTCCCAAGGTTCTTTTCATAAAAAGCAAGCGTGACTTTTACTTGGATTTGGTCATTATATCTACCGTTCAGTCCAGCCGAAGTATATGATATGAAGCAGCACGTATTGAAGTTAATTGACTACACTTACCAGTACTTTCGTGACATCTGTGCGATATGTTATTTTATAGAGTTGACTTTCGTCCTTCGCCATTGTGATGGCCTGCAAGTAAGATTGACCAAAGTCAGCAAAACAGTATATAAATAAAAGGCAGATACGGGTTCGACTATTTTGATCAATTGTG